GTCAGAGGCCGTCTCTGCTGAGACCAAATACTGCGCCACCGAACGGATCGTATATGGCCAGCGGGAGTGGCCAGTAAAACTCATTGCATCAAAAGATCGTTTGGTTTAAACAAGCTAATAGACCTAATTGAGGCCGCTGCACTGGAAATATTAAATGTCGTTGGAGGTCATAAGTGGCTCGTTTACGTCTAGGCTACTAACTCATAAAACGCGGAGCTGACGTTCTGGCAACATGCTAACCCGGCCGGGCCCGGGGGGTAATCCCAACCACCGCAGCCCGGGGGGGGGGCGTTTTTCGCCCCCCCTGTCTAACTCCGTAAATAAGAGAGCTACGGAAACAAAAGCGATACCAAACGAAAGGTCCTTACGAGACGATTCTAATGCACCTAAAATTTTTGACCTCAGGTCAATTTTCAAGGTCAGAGGTCAAGGTCAAAGGCCAAAACCGGCACATGTGTAGTGATCTCAAAGTAAGCCTTCTAGAGGACGGCAGGCTGCATCAAACCGGCAAAATTGGGTGTCAAACGAAAGAAGAGAATCTGAGGATTCTGAAAATGTGCTCTAAATGAAAGGTCAAGGTCAAGGTCACGCTCAAAATTGACCTCAAACTTGGCACTTTTTCGCACATCTTGCGTGCTAACTTCCAAGATGTTTTGAAATGTTTTGAGGCTTATCAGTTCCCTATTTGTGGTTCATCTTACGATACAAGGCTGCTCAAAGGTCAAGGTCACACAAGAGTATCCCTGCTAGAGGCTATTTCACTTATTAAGTTAGTAATAATAAATAAGACAATTTTGCCATCCAGAAGCTCTAAATGAAGGCTTAGAGGAAAATAGATGCCAGATTCGTGATCAGCGGGTACAAATCCATCATAAACGACCTTTCATGTGTCAAGGTCAACCAGAGGTCATTCGAGGTCACATGAGGTCAACATGAAACTTGACCTTTTCCGAACAAAATATATATCATTCGACGCGGCTTGACAAGGCGAATGCGATGGTACCACTGCCGTAGCTCTAGGACCATTTTTGTCGAAGTTATTTGCGAAAAACTAAAACCACATTTCGGGGTCGTTGACCTGACCTCTGACCTCAGGTCACCAAAACTATTTTTCTATTTTTCTATAGGTCAAACGCTACACAGCCGTGCTCGTAATTTGTCTTTATCTCTAAAACTCTATTTTTAGCAGCTATTTGAAGTTTGCGTCTGTGACGCCGAAGTTTGCCGTGCAGGGGTCTAGAAAAATGGACCTTGTGACGTCATCAAGGGGGCTAGGTCCAAATTTTTTACTTCAGAAGATGTCAAATTGATGGGAGAAAAGGTACTGAAAGTTTCGCCTTCCTATCCCTAAGCGTTCGGGAGTTATCGCAAATATTCGCCAGGGGGGGCGAAAAACGCCCCCCCCCGGGCCCGCGAGGGCTAACGGTATCAGAATTAACCAAACTAATGCTTCATTTTATAAGACGGTAATAGCAAACAGTACTTCTATAGTGAATGAGACAACGTAACGCCGCCAATATGTTTCTGGACCCGGTTGACCTATGACCTGGCCATTTCGGGTCAAAGACCCGAGAAGGGTCAATGGTCAGAGCACCGGGTCAGTAGTGCCGCATCGAGAGATACTGGGTGCTCTGTTCCGCGAAATATCGTGCAAAATGTCCGCGTCCGCTCGTGCCTGTGGTCGCGGTGGTTCGTGTTTGAGGACTAGACAGCCCGTGACTGCTACCCTTCTCTGCCACTCGTCCATTTAATTGCGCCTCAGCATGAAAACGAAATTCCGTGAGCGAACACTGAACAGTGAGAGCCAGAGACGGGAAACCTCAGACCGGAGCTCGATAAGGAATTCGACCTCCAGAACCTGAAAAATGGCTGACACGTCTTTGATGCTCTCTTCGCACGTTTGATTGTTGCAAAGCCAAAAGCTTCTCACGGGTTCTGTTCGTTTTAAATGGTTTTCTGTTTTAATTCTTTTTTATTTTTGTTGGTGCATCAAGCTTTGTTGCTTGATTGGCACATTTCTTTCTATGACCTGAAACATCTTGGCCAATGAAAGTAGCTAGAAGTTAACACTGAGCAAATAGCTCTCTACAGTGTACGTGAAGTGCCGTATTGTCAGACATAGTTGCTCATTTCATTGCGCAGTTCATCCGACAACCTGCTTTATGTTTGAATTTTACAGTCAGGCTGATTCCACCACTTCAACCGCCATTTTCATCATCTGTTGTGTGAATTTCCAGCTCGTTTCTGCCCGAAATTGGTCTCCCTCCGCGGCAGGTATGTCGGGGAGAGGCTGATTAGGGACTCCCAGAGGCAGATACGGCCGCCCGTCCAGACGCTCACCAGGTAATGGGCTAAATTGAATTACACGCTTCAGAAGAGCCTGAATAAGTTCACATTGCCCTCGTGAAATGTTACGACCTTTAAAATGTCTGACACAAAATTCCCGTTGAAGTAACGGGCTATCACTGTAATTTGAACAAAATTCAATGTGTTATAGTTTATGGAACATCCAGAGATCAATGCTCGAGCGTGTTTCTCTGACACATTTGTGATAGACTACCGTTCGAAAGAGATCCTGTCTCAGAATACGCACTGGAAATTCTCAGGGGCATTTCTCTAGAACCTGACATCGGCTGACGGCACCTGTTATCTGGTAAAAGCGACTACTGTTGTCTCTCCCCCTCTCATTAGGCGCCAAGGGGCGGAGCTCCCGCACCGGCGCACTTGTGAAACGGCGATAAAATTGGCGACCATTGGGGGCGGTGGGCGGTCCGCGCGGTTATGTACGAGGGCCGTTTCTGCGTCGGCGAGCAGTAATATGACAGGGTCAGCTCCCAAAGTGGCTAATAGCACGCCATAGAAGGAGTCCCTCTTTATTATGAAGGAGCCGCCGACAGCGAGAGTATGAAATTGTGCGCCAGGCTTGAGAAAGATGTGTATCTTTTTCAATAATGGAGTATGACATCCATCCTCGGTTAAATAGCTACCGTTACTCTTAAATGTACAATGTCAAGTGATATGCTAGAAGCTGCAAGAGCATTCTGCGAAGTTTGTCCACATTCATCATTCAGGAACGGTGTTAGACAAAGAAATGACGATGATTTTATATAGTACTTGAGCATAAACGCACCACATGCGGTGCTGTTGATACCATATTGTTTCCTAAACGTGTAGGATGTAGGAGTGAAGGACGAGCCCGCGGTCGGGTAAACTGCATGCTGGGGACGACGACGGTTGCGCCGGATACAGGATAAGCGATGGGTTTCGGACCGCATTGGAAGGTGTGGCTGGGATACGGTGAGCTGCAGCAGCCTCCGCAGTCCAGCGCCCCCTCGTCTCCCCCCACCCATCAAGGTGAGCCAGCAGTTCCGGTGGACTGGGCCACTCCCGCAAGCCTTACCCCCGAGACATGGACAGTGGACGGTGTATGTATGTACATGAGCAGAGGCCCACCACAGGGACACTTGGGACAGTCCACAGCCTTCGTTGTTTAGAGACTGAGGTTGAAGTTTGAACGTTGCGTCACAACACGCATAAACAAATGACCCGATCATGAGATATCAGTGCAAGAAGCCAATGTTTTATGACTGCCTTTTCTTCCGATTTATTTGTCGCGGGCTTCACGAGGCTATCGGAAGTTACTGCAAGTGTTACGTAACCGCCTAGAGCTGGGCGGACATAGTTTACGAGTCTCACAGATCAGGATATTCTCGGTATGCCTTCATATAACTCAGTGGGACTCACATGATATGGTCAAAGGATATGCAAACATTGGCTCCTGGACTAAACCAAAGCTATTCATAAGATTCAGGAGGAAAGACTTATCAGCAATCCCATTCACTACCATCAAATTCAATAAGAAACATTTATGTTTTCGAGCCCATAAATCATTTCAAGTGTATATTGGCATTCTTATTCAACTGATTATTACACAAAAGATGAAACCATCTTGCAACTTAAGATACGTTGCTGTGATTTACCTAACCAACATGAACAAATGCAGCAAACTTCCAGCTCAAAATATTGAGTCCAATTAACATGTGAAACAACCACAGTGCCCCTGCCGCCATTCCATGCACCATACCAGAACCCGTCGAGCACCTGCCACCGGGTAACACCAGCCTTTTTCTTATCACAATCTGGCACAGAATGAACCCCGCGGCACGCCAAAATGGTCCCATTAATAACGCACAGCCGTGTGGTTAACGGCGACATTAGCGTGACAGGAGCGCTCGGACCGCACAAAAAGTTCTGCCGACGTGGGCACACTGCACAGCATCATCCACAACAGAGCTGTGACATGGCGGCAGCTGACACGCGAAGGAGGCCCGCGGTGTGCACCTGAGGCCGTGGGACAGAAGTCGTCAGAGAACAGGCCATCTTTTGTGTAACTACTGACATTGTCCTAATTTGTCGTACAATCTAATCAACTTTCTTTATGTCAATATAATTTTTTGTTGAATAAAAAAAGAACAAAAGAAAGTTATTTTAATCAGTGCTTTAATAGTATCGTTCCCCATTGAAAGTAAAATATCTCTCATTCCTCAATGACGTAGTAGGATGTCAAATGTCAATATTGACGAGACGAGACGAGACGTCGCTTTATGCGACGTGAGTCTCGTGTCCTGGGAATGAGTACAGATGTCTTTGTTTTAGATATCAGGCCGGAGACTAGTATTCAGACAGCGGTACCCTGCCGGCCCCACCGCAGACATCGGTTGCAGCCCATCAGGTGAGGCCACGATATTCACTTTTGCCCAGAACCCTCGTAAAGTTAAGCATTTAAAACATGATTTCGAGCTTTCGTGCCTAAGTATAGTCAAGCATGAAAACCATTATTTCATTCATTTTTGCTGTTTATTTTTTCTTATAAGTTTTGTAATAAATTCGATGCACTACACAACCAATTTTATTTCAAAGAACATGATAAGAAAAACGCCATAATAGCCGAGCCTAGTTCCCTCTAACCTCCCACCTCCCTTGTCGCCTCTCCCCAGCCGAAGCAGTTCCCGTCACGATGTCGCCGCTGCCGTCGCTGCTGCTGGCCGGGCTGGTGTCAGCGGGAGCCGCTCGCGCCGGCTGTCCGACCAACGTCGACTGGCGCGAGTTCGAGGGCTCCTGCTACTGGCGCTCCACGTACCCCGCCACCTGGTCGGCGGCGGTCACCGCGTGTCCCACCGTGGGCGACGGCTCCCAGATCGCCTCCATCCACTCACTGGTCGAGAACTCGTTCGTCATGGAGACCTACAACTACGGCGAGACGTGGATCGGCCTGAACGACCTCGGTGCCGAGGGTCAGTTCGCCTGGTCGGACGGAGCGGATCTGGACTTCACAAACTGGCAGCCCGGCCAGCCGGATAACCTGGATAACGAGGACTGTGTGTGGATGCCGCACCCCAAGGACCCGAGCGGCGGGCGCTGGGACGACTACGACTGCGACAGCAGCCTATTCTTCCTCTGTAAAATGCCAGCCACTAGCTGAACAAGTACCAACGTGCATACATCCACTGATGGCTGCATTTGCGGCTGCGCTGCCAGCATCAGCGCTATGTGTCATACCAACGTTCAAGGGAAAATAAAGCCTCTGAGAAGTGAGCATGCCTTTTCATGTTTTTACCCATCGTTCTTTGAGTCCTCCACGCTCTATGCAAAGATGTCATAATGTCCAAGATTCCTCAGCCTCGTGTTTCATCACCAGCACAATCTGTTGGGCTCAGCTGTTCATCCTGCGCTCTTCCACACTTGGTGCCGACAGGCCGTGCGTGCATTTTCGGGACAGCTCAGCTCATAAGCTGGACCAGGAGTTTCAGAGCTGGACGTGACTTGGCCGCGGAGCTGATTGGCAACGTATAGGCGACTGCAAATGCTTTCAACCAACCGACGCGGCTAACCATCAAACCAGCAGCATACGCAATGGAATATCACCATAATGCATGCATACCTTTGTATCCTACGAGTCTACGTGCTTTATAAACTCAACCGGCGTCCCAAATAGGCGACATCATTGCGCTGTGAACCGGCGTCGCTTCACCTCCAGCGCGGTCCAAATGGCAGAGTCCGTATCACTGGAGCTGTTATTCAAATGGCCGACCTAGCTCCAAATGTCTCCAAATGGGACCTAAGCGCCGGACAAGGGCAGCCGATTACGCTGAGCGGCCTGTAATGGTATCAGCTCGGCCACTTCTAGTTAAGCACCTCTGCCGGATCATTGTCACAAACTACAGAATGATATCAAGCTCAGGGTGGGGATCACTCAGTGGGATGAGGTTCGAAGTCAGACGGATAAAAATGCATATATAACTCCAGTCAAACCAGGCAAAGTAACTCATGAGTTTACGTTATAATTACGTTGATATATCTACGTTATATACAGACGGACGAGCGTCTCTCATCAGTGATGAGAGACACCATGCTAAGTGCTATCTCATCTCGTCCCGTCCTAGTTGGATCTCAAAATACTTGTGAGAGTCATCACTACGCAATTGTTTCAATGCCAACGCCATTCGGCAGCCTGAATACCCGAGTTACTCTTGTGCTCCGCATAATTAACAGAAATACTCCCGAGATCCACCTAAACACGACGTCGGTGTCCAGTGCGGTGTCCGAGTTCCGCCGAGCAGCTGGTCAGCTCCCATCACCGGCGCACTCTGGTGATAACATGCCGGCCGGCGCGACCAAATGAAGATATATGGATGCCGTCAGCGCCAGTCGTATGTGAGCCGCGGGGGAAGTCTCTGAAGGTGTCAGCCGCCGACGGCGACAAAACGAAGACAAAAGTCGCTCACAAAGGAGCGTGGTGAAATCCGGTGACGGCGGTGATGGATAAGGAGCGGCGGAAATAAAATGACGACATAAAAGGCGACAAAAGAAGGAGTGACGCTTGAGATTCAAAGGCGTAGAGAAAAGCAAAGTGTAGCAATAGGGAAATATGTTCGCCTTTGATTTACATATTTAACGTTTTAACGAAGTGGTTCTAGAGGATATATGTAAAAGCGAGCGCCAATGTGCTTTATTAATTCTTTCCTGTAGAAATTCCTTACTTCGTCAGTTTGTCATCTCATTAACACATAGGTCATCTCTTGAACAGTGCAATTAGCCACACATTCCTGGGTCATGGTTACGGCCAAGTTTACCGTTAAGGTCGTTGCCTTGGAGACCACCAGCAGTGGTGCAGCTGTGGTGAATCCGCAGCCTCAAAATGGCCCAGCTTGGTGAGCCATGAAAGCCTTTAATGACGGCTGATCATCCCAAACCGTTATCCCGAATCCCTTCCGTTCTGAGCTCTGTCTTGGGTGGTTCAGAGGCGAGCAGTTCTGAGAGTACGCCGGCGGTTTGCTGATGCCACCCGGTAGTTTCGCGCCTACATATTATGACGACTGACCCGTGACTCCAATTCCCTGGGGCGTGCGCCAGTCTAGAGGCCCGAGTAGCGCCGCTAACAGGTGGAGGGGTGTTGGCGGCCTACCACGGGTGATTATCAGTCAGCTGAGCTGACCCAGTGACACCAGCGCTAAAGGTGGCAGCCAATCAGCGACAAGCGACAACAGCCTGACCTCTGACTTGACCGCTGACCCGCGGGCAACCCTGGGGGCGACCAACGCTGACCTAGACAGATCCGGGAGAGCTAACTAACCCTATTATGGAACTCAGACGCCACGTCAGTGAGCGACGCTGCAAGCCTTCAGCATGTCAAGCACGCTGTTCAAAACTGCACAGCGCTCTCAGAAACCCTCTCAGAATGCGGTTGATTTCAGTTCGCGAGGCTAAATCGCAGTGCGCCTTTGTTTCAATAACAATCGAACACAGTACCAGTGTTAGCGGGGCTGGCCCAGCGTGCTCACGTCCTCTCAGCCGCTCTGAAAATCGTGAACGGAATCGCAGCTGGACGGACGCTGTGGCCGGCCAGCGGCACTTGGCGAGTCCGCGAGAACTTTGGGACGGTAATGGTCCCCCGGGGAGCCGAGTTAGGCCGCACGAAATTGGTTGGAACAGGCCGCACGGCGGGCGAGACAAAGATAAATCGGAAGCGGAGGATGCAAGGTAAGTGTGAAAAGTAGTGTATGGCCATTGACTACCCTTTCAATTTTAATATTCAATGCTTGATTCAGTGCAAATATCAATCGGTATCAATCATATCGAATGGCAATACCAGCGTTGCAAATAAGATGTCAATCAGTCAAGAAGCAATCGTGGATCAGTCAGGAAATGCTTGTAAAAAAGGTAGACGTTAATTTCTATCTATCTGTCATTTTACCGACATCATAGTTAAGTCATACATGTAGTTAGATTGGCTCGACCCAGTGTGGAACGGTGCATGCTGACATGCTCTCGATTTGATCAGACCATAATTAGTTACCGTAAAGTGGGGCTATTTGAGACAGTGGGGCTATTTGAGACAGTACGGCAGTGGCTTAGCAAAATTGCTGTAAAATTAAAACCGTTTGATATTTTTGATCAATTTTTGCTCAAGCTGATGTGGAATTTTACAATGAATTCCATGGATAGGGTTTTTTGAAAATTTTGAAAAATTTTGAAAGAAATTTGGCATTAAATGAGAAATACAGAAAAACCACAATTTCAGTGATACGAAAAGCGCCCCTACCTGCAGCTTAACATGGTTAAAATTTTAAAACCTTGCAACCGAATCTATCGTTACTATCGTTTTACTTATGGGCTAAGCACATTTTACATGAATACATTATATATTGTTAGCGGTAGTAGTGATTGTGTAACCCGATGTCTCAGAATCCCGATGATACCCACCTCGTCAAACCTCAACGTATACCAAATACAGCTGATGATTGTGAATCCAAGGCCCTAAAACAGGTGATATGATGCATCCTAAAGACTTAACGTCATCTGCCTAAGGTGTATCAAACGTTCGACCTAAGGAACACCGATGAATCGGCCATGGGCTCATGGTACTTTTAGCAGCAAGCAATATTTACGGTAACTTAATACGACCATGTGACGATATTAGTCACCTTTATCATGAATATGTGCAATGTGCATAAAATGTGTTTCATCAGTCACTGACGTGGTCGGTAATCGACCCATGTCTACTCTGGTTGACCATAAGCATTAAGCACCATTGAAGGTTACTTAACACGCGCAGTGGAAGGGTTGCGAGTACTACGCCCAGTGGAAGGGGGGGCGGATGTCGCCACCCCCCCTAAGATCTCAGCTCCCAGTGAAGCTAGAAAGACAAAATTTGGAGGGTAGGTGAGGGCCATAGGGAACTCTGTTGTGTGTGAATTTCATGACCCTAGGTCAATATCTTCAAGGTCAAATGAGGTCAAATGTGGTCAAATCTGCCATATTAGCGACTTTTTTGCGTTTACACGAAGATAACTCAGAAAGTTACCGGCCGATTTTTTAAATCTTTCACTATACGAAAGAACAAACATTTGTGAGTATGTATGGTGAATTTCTAGATAATCCAACTATAAATATGGCAGTTAGAAGCCTGCTAAGGGTAAGATGTCGCTGGCTGAAGCGGCATCGGCCGACGCGGGAAACGCGGCAATCACAATTTTGTGTTTACACACTCATAACTCAAGTTGTTACCGGCCGATTTTCAAAATTCTTTAACCATATGATTGCCTGTACATTTCTCAGTCTTCTCACCGAATTTGACGCGAATCTAATATAATCAGCGGTAAGGAGCGCGATGTAAAGACGGAACCGTCCCGCCCCGGCACAGTCTACAATTCAGGCGGCGCGTAACGGCTAGCGCCGGCCGCCGCGCCGCCGCGCCGCCGCGGCGGCAGGATGTTTGACTTTACACCGCTATTACTAGAAAAGTTGTGAACCGATTTTCTTACTTTTTGCACGAGAAGATCCGCCATTCAATTCTGGACAGGTAGCCGAAATTTCACATTGATATTATGCTTTCGGCGCGAGTTATTGGCGAAAAACAGGAGGGGTGGGCGAAATCCGCCCCCCCCTTCCACTGCGCGTGTTAACATACTTACTGTTAGGTGAGCCTTCAGTACGCGTACTTGATGCAGTGCGGTAACCGGCCATTCGATACAACAAGCAGTGATCTAGCAAAATCGGTATAAAATCAAAACCATTTGACCTTTTTCTGTTATTTCTTCACAGGTAGATGTGCAATGGAGCAATCGATCATGCATATCATTCATTCAACCATTTTGGAAACTGCTTTCCCTTTTTTTAAGGCATTACGGTGCGTTTAATGCAGTAGCGAGCCTGTCTCAAATAGCCCCACCAACTTTCGGCCTATATGTTTTACGCCGCCAGACATAAACACAACAACTTTATTTGAAAATTTCACTATCGTTTACTTAGAAATAGTCATAGATAATCATCCTGTGATTTTTAGAGCTTAGGATCACATCATATTATGACAGCCCTAGCATAAAGTAATGCAATTTTTTAGCAGACGGAAATGCTATGTCCAACGAAAAACGAAAAATTTGATTATAAGGGTTATATAACTGTAGTTGAAAGAAATACTTT